ATACTCCCAGAACAGAGCCCACAGGACCGTTAATAACCTGCATAAATCAATATAATTTGACCAGAAAGTAAGTCTGGATCTAGCAGTGAATTTAAAGTGGTTGAACCCTGCACTTCAAGGAATAGTTCAAAATTTTGGGAAACGTGCATTTTCGATTCATACAGCAGGCTCCATGCTACTTTCGTGTTTGCCCGAGCCAAGTGGAGCAAAGTGTTTGTCAACCAGCAGCTCCACGACTCAACAATAAAACCAGCTTATTTTATGTGTCAAAAATAAATAAATACATAAAGCAAACCAACAAATTAAAAAAATAAATAAAAATGATGTAGTTTTTTGTGTGATTATCATTTGAAAGTGCGTCTGGCTTTGTCTAGTATGTAAATCTAAACAAGGTGTTATTTACGGTGCTTATGGGAGAGGTTTAAATCTTCTGTTTCAGCAACAAATGCATTTCCCCCCAAAACCTATAATAATAATAATAATAATGTTTTTTTTAAAAATCATTCTAATAATTTGGCGGACATAGTGTAGTGTTATAACAAAGTTCCATAAAACCACAACTTGTTTTTGACAAGAGAAACACAGGTTAACTTTTAGCAGTGAACTTCTTCTTGTACATCCTCACATTTTCTGCACACAAATCCGATTTTTCCACCAAAGTTAGGTACCTAATTCCACCAAAAAGTGCCTGCAAAGCTCCAGCAAAGGATTGAAACCATCAAAATTTGGAAGTGCATTTTCCCTTGGACAAAACCTAACAGGAAGCATAGTATGAACAAAGCGTCCGTTTTACTTTATGTTCTTTTAAACACTGAACAGTAAACAACATCAATCAAGCATCAGGTCCATCACGCTGCTGAGTGACTGACGGCACAGCCCACTGCACCACATAACTTGGCAACCCTGGAGTTACTTTTATCCAGCAGAGTGTGTGGTGGTTAATCAAAGCCCATAATTTCCATAATTCATGGATGCCCATCTGTTTGCCACCTACTCCCATGCCCAGTGCAGAATAAACAAATTCAGGAGCGGGGCCAGGGGGCTATTTAATGACAGCATCAGCCGTGGCTTGTGCAAATATCCACACATACACACACGGCAGGGAACGCGCGCTCGCCACGCGCACACGCAGCATAGCCTAATCAATCTTCCGGCATGAACTATAATTTATTCTCAACACAACTGTTTAATCTATCTAAGGTGTGATATCTGCATTGTAATTTACAAAGTGAGGTTAAATAATTAGGCTTCACCAGACTACCACTCATCCCATTCACACTGTGCCTTTACAACGTTCTCTCGCAACCGATCTCCGCCCAGACGATTTCTCACAGAAGTCTTGTCATAGTTCGTCACTGTGCAGAGTTTCTTCTGATAAAACACTTGATGTTATTGCAACCCTGTGGAGAGCTCTGCTTTTGAATCCAGAGAGCTCAAGATAGAGAAATACGTCGATGTGGGAGGAGGATTTGTTGTGTGATTTAGAGATAAATACCCCTCTAAGCTGACATGTTAGTGGTAATAAAGCCTAAATCTGACTATATCTGACTATAACTGACTGGGATGATTCAACTTTTCTTATTTTACAACATTTTGTAGAGTGTAATCAGTTTTTTATATTCACCGAGTAGCACTAATAACAAGGTAACATAACATACAAACAGTGGTGTTGTTAGGATAAAACAATGCACCTATTTATATGCTCACTGGCCAGTTTATTAGGTACACCTTCCTAGTACTTCGCAAGGTGTAACCTTTGATCAACTGTACTGCAGCTTAACTCAAGATTCATCCGACCAGGAAATGTTTTTCCAGTCTTCTGTTCACCAATTTTGCCAACCCACTGTGGTCTTCTGCTGCCTTGGCCCATCTGCTTCAAGGTGTCATGTGTTATGCATTAAGAGATGCTCTTCTGCATACCTTGATTGTAAGGAACAGTTATTTGAGTTGCTGTTGCCTTCTTGTCAGGTCTAGCATCAACAAAACATCTTATTTCATTGTTATCAGACCATTACCTTCTTTGTAAACCTGAGATGTTGTTGTTTCTGCAGTTTCTGAAATACTTAGATCAGCCTGTGTGGCACCAACAACTGTGCCACATTCAAAGTCACTTAAATCACCTTATTTTCCCCCATTCTCATGCTCATGTTGAACTTCAGGAGGTCTTCTTAACCATGTCTACATGTCTAAATGCACACTGAGCCATGATGTTTGCTGATTACATATTTGCATTAAGAAGCAGTTTAGCAGGTATAGCTAATGCTGTGGCCGGTGAGTGTATGTTTGAGGTATATAGGTTGCAAAATTAAGTCATCTTTGATAATCCCTTTAAATGAAGTGTAGGTTTCAGTTAGCACTTACCTTGCACAAAATGTTTACACTGGAGTTTGTGAGCTGCAATCTAAACTCTAATCCCATTTTCTCCTCAAGCGTCCATTAAAAATCACTCACACTAAACATGTTCCAAAAATAGTTTTAACTGAAGAAGATGGTTGTGTTTTAATGGCTGGAGGCTTAGCTGGTGCCTGCGTGCTCAGGGCTGCTGTCATTTACTTATGAGATTTATTCCCTAATGATATATACAGTATGGCACAGTAAAAATAGCAAACTGGTGAATGTAATGATGGTACCTGATAAACAATAGGAGACAAGTGGGGTTTAGAAGTAATCAGGTCAGATAAAGTTAACAGCATTTAAGGCTACAAATCTTCAAGTATCTTCTGGTGTGAGAAGGTCACCAATGTAATCAGAGCCCCTCTGACCCAGCTGTTGAGCTCCATTTGAAGTATTAAAGTTATATTACAGTGGTGAGAGCGGGAGAAAGGACTTTGCTAAAAACACCTGCGATAACCCAAGTTTGCTAACTTTGTAAAGTATCAAAAGTATGCCTCCAAAGTTGAAAACAACCCTTTGAAATTGGGTCCTTTTGGAGAAACTTTTATTCCAGTCGATCTCGACTCTCTGTCTCCAAAACAAAGCCTGCTGGCCGGAAAGCTCAGAATGATTCTGACAGTTACTCGACTTGCGGAGTGAAAAATAAGGAGACTACTGCGGCTGTGCTTCCTACAATTCAGAAACATATTAAAAATTAAGTTGTTTTTATCCTTCACAGATTTAGAGAAGGTCATCGCGCTTGTATCTTATCTTGTTTAACTGCACGAGTTGCCCACGCATCTGCAGCTTGGTCAGGAGGACTTTTTCTCTGCTGGAAAACTGAGTGCTAAATATTCAGAAGTAGACCTGGCACACACAAATGTAAATGTACCATTCCTCAGATGAAAAGTCACTTTGTTTTTGCTTTTTTCATTTATTTTTAAGCTGATACTACCAGGATTGGGAATGTTGGTTGCAATTTAAACTTTTGGGAATGATGCTAGCAGCACACATTTCTTCTCTCTTAAGTAATCTCTGTCCATCAAATACTGAATTGCCACCTAGGCAGTTGCCCCAGGATGCTACTTCAGCCTCCAACCCCCCCACGTTTGCAGCGTGTCACTTGGGTTTCAGTAATTGACCAGTTGCTAAATCCCTCCCCACATGGCTACAACAGCTGTCGTGTAACTATTAGATTTCTTCACATGGTGAAGCTGTGTTCACTGTATGCAGCCTTGTTTTGTTTTAACAAAGAATACAGTAAAAGTTTAAAAAATGATTACATTTCCTCTTTTTTCTGCGCTAAAATTCACCTTCAGCAGTTAAAATAGTAAGCTAACAAGCTTGCTAGCTTAGCAATAAAAATGCAATTACATGTGTCATTTTATATGATCTATCCTTTAAAAGAAGCCAGTTGGAAATAATAAAAATCTACCAGAAAAACCATTCAAACCAATTCTTGGCAGTAACATGAGCTATATTGATATATTAGCCAATAAACATGTTTGCTTATTGCATTTCTTCTATTGGTCACATGCAACAAAAGATGCAGAAGTGCTTTTTGAGCTTTCTCAGACCGGAGTCCAAGTACCAAATTTGTTTTTTGCAGACCATTGTGTTTCTAAGACGTGGCCTCCACCAGTTTTGATTGGCTATAATGGACAAAATATTGTAAACATTAAAAGTACAATAAATAGTTTACTCCTGCCAGCCTTGGTATATTTTTTTTTCTCAAGATTGGTGAAAATTGTGCCACCTGTGAACTGGATTCTAATAATATACCATCCTATAGTGCTATAATCTCATTGTGGTCCAAGTAACACAATGACCCATCATCTTTCAAAAACATTTTTTTCCCTGTCCACTTCCACGTTCTCTGGCAGAATGTGAAATTTCCAGCTTTTTCTCGTCAAAAATGAAAGGGAAAAAATGGAGAAAAGTTAGCACAATAGTGCTAGTACTAACACGGCATAGAAGTTTATTGATTTCTGGCATCTTGTTACAGTAGATAATAATTTCTTTATATATTTTACATTGTTCTCGATAGTTTTTACTTCTTCCATAAATAGCGGCTTAACAGTGACCCAAAGACTAAAACAGAATCAGTTCTAGTTCTGACAAAAATATTGTTAATGATTTCATAGTTAAAGAATACAAAACCATAACGTTTTGAATATACAATTTGTCATGATGTTAGCCAAGCACAGTCCATCCAACAGTGTTTTGTAAATGCTTTAAGATGCGTTTCAAAAGCACGATTGCACTGCAAAATCATCGGCTTGAACGAAACCCCGGATTATGCCTCTTATTCTTGCCTCGTCTGGTGTATGTCTCCATAATACATGAGATACAAATTGCACTATATTCCATGTGAATCACCAGGCAACAGAAACACTTCACTTTGAGTACATCTCTTACTTTGGGGATGTGTGTTGTGTCGTATCTAGGACCCCGTGCTACACGTTATACTTGTCAAACAGCTGTTGAAGTCCCCGAGAGACCAAACAACCACTTTAACTTGTCAAATGGCTCGAGACATCGTGAACGGCGTTTATCCATAATTACTTTCAGTCCATTCTTGTCTGGGTAATTCTGTGTATCCCTGAGCCACAACATTTTTTTTAAAAAAAATAGCTTTCAAAACCTCTTGATGGCTGTTTCCATAATGGCTCCATCATCTCATTTGTATATGCACTTTTGATGGCATAATAGACACCAATTATTGGCAATGTCTCTAAACATGAAAACAAGGAAAAGAAAAAAAGAGCAATGCAGGTAAACGTATTGCCATCTCTCTTTTACATTCATGAATGTTATTGTTTGTTTTTTGCCAAAGTTAAATGAAAAGGCATGAAAACGCCATTTTTTGACTAAGCTCATTCGTCATCTACGAGGCAGAAGGGACAGTGCAAACCAAAACCAAAATGAGTCACGGCTTGCTGGGAAACCAGTCGCACATTATTGCATGCACACGTTGCCTATTGAGCTACAGCATTATAATCTAACATCCTAAGCACTCTGCATTTATCTGACTTCAATCTACTTTAGAAACAGTCCGTAGATTGATGTGATATGTAGAAATGTACAGTTTTTGTTCTCTTTATAAGGCATGCCATTGTGATTCCTTTCTCAGCAGGTCACAGCGTCTGTGTCACAGCTGGAGTTGCTGATAATGCTGCAATCCTCTGTAAGTGTCCCCGGACAGTTTCAGAAGGCCACGGGTCGCCTTTGCACAGCAAAGCAAACAGTCAAGCGAGGCTCTTCACACCGGAGGGAGGGTTTCACTTTATTATACACCTGCAGCTTCTTCACATGGGTTCAAATAATAGTCGATAAGATTTGGAGCCTGCGAAATGAAGTTAGCTACACAGAGAACACAGCGAGGGAAATTCAGGTTTGTAAATGAGTGGAAAAGATTTGTTGTCGCCCAAATTAAATCAGCTCGAAAAACAGAGGGAACGTGCTTCTTCTGAAGACGGGATTCAAAGCATTAAACTGCGAGTGATATTCTCGGCTCTGAAACTTTAGTTATATTTGCCCACACACTTTTGCAATAAGCACCCGCAAGTTGCAAGTGGGAAATTTTGGCTCCCATCTTTGGTCTGGGGAAAAAAAACAACAAAAACAACAAAAACACACACACCAAAAAAAAACCCAAACCAAAAAAAAAACAAAACAGGGCCAATATTGATTTTTTATTTAACATCTGCAATTTTTTGCAGTTTTCTGAGCCCATACTGAGGATCCACAAGCAGTTTGGGTTTCTCCAATTCAGCTGGCAAAGGTTCATACTAACATCTTCTATCTCAGACTTCTAATACCGTCTTTTGTGATATAAATGTCGTCTTTCTGCGTGAAAGCGCTGACCGTAAAATATAAAATATGTATGGTGTGCAGCGCAGCCACCATTTGAATGAAGCTGGTATTTTTATTAAGCACAAGCTGCACATACACAAAAAAAATACATTCATTTAACCATCTGTTGTGTGACACTAACTTTGGTTCATAGAAGACATCTTAAGTTTGTTAGAAATCATAGGATGGTGTGTTGATATGTGTGCGTGTGTGTTCCTGAACACAGTACACAGTGAAACATATCAAACACTCTCACCTTAACACAATTAAAGCTAAAGTGCAGAGGCTTTGTTACAACAACAACAACAACAACAACAACAACAACAACAGGCATACAGTAAGTGACTCCTAAACACGCACTAATCAGATGACTTAAAGAGCCTTTCGCCTACCTGAATAAAATATGTTTTGCTGCCACCTGGTGGTCACAGTGATAAATTATTTGAGCCTGGATTTACACCCAAGTGTGGAACTTTGTTTGCACCGCCGTTTTTTTTGTTTGTTTGTTTTTTTAATTCTTTTGTTTTTTGCATAAGTCATCTGTAAGGAAAAAAAAATCTGGTTCTTATCTCAAACCTGTAACATGCTTAAACTTCTTAGAAAATAACTGAGATAAAAAGCTGAAATTCTGACTTACAAATGACAAAAAAAACTTTTTTCAGTGGCAGAAACAAGCTTCCATACTAAAGACATTTTCATTATGAGAAAACCAACAGATGCATGCCTACTGCACAACACATAATACTTAAATTGGACCACATTACAGCCACCATGTTCTACTTAAAATATCACTTCATTGGCCTCTTTAGTCGCCCTCTTTTAACTCTGACATACATTTTATGATAAATGTTTTCAATCGCCGTCTAAACATACACACGAAGCAAACTCACTAGTTAATTAAAACAAAAAAAAAGTTCAAACTCTTTTAGAAAAAAAAGACTAACCCCACATGGAGTTTTACTGACATCAGTTACCGTGACAAGGAGTCACCTGAATTGGAGCATTTTATCAAATTCACACTGCGCACAGTACTCAGTAGCTACCTTGAGTTCTGTTTCAATATTACATTTACTAACATCTAGTTTTAAGGCAATCAGATATGGCTATGCTTATAGCACAGGAGTCACTGTTTGTGCATGCTCATGCATCTGTCTCTTTTTTTGGATGGAGACGAGTACGCGTGTCAAACTACTGCACTGTGAAATTCTCTCATGATTTACTGCACGTGTTATAGTTTTTTTGCCGGGAATCGCTTGACTAATAAATGATTGTGTATTCAGAGTGTGTCCGGAAGTGCTAAAAAACCCCAAACAAACAAAAATACAAACACAGTAGCTGGTATGTAGAGAAAAATGGTGCTGTTGCACTTATCCTTACTCACTCATGGGAGCTCAGACTGTGCATTAAACGGCAGATGATGACATCAGTTTAAGTTCAATTCTAGTGAAGAGGAGGCAGTGCAGTTTTCTTGTCACACTCTTTTTTTTTTTTTTGGCAAAAACCCTCCATATTGAAGTGCCACTCTGACACTCTGTTGCCTTGTAAGAAAAACATCTATTTGTGGAGTCATTTCTTTGTTTTTCTGTGTGTGGAAATAGTTTCAGTAGCATAAAGCTGCCTTGCTACTGCCAAAAAAGAATATGCCTCCTGGACATTTAGGGTCAAACGTAGATGCCTTCAGGGTTGAGGGTGGACGAGACGGCGCTCTGAAGAGCACGAAGGTCACTGGGTAAGAGACGGGAGGAGCCGAGTCGTTTTAGGGAACCGCACTCCGTCTCTGCAGCACACAAAAAAGAGATGGTCATTTAGCTGTGAGGGGTATGAACATCACTGATATATGATTCTGATCTGACATCCCACAAGTGATTAAGTATCAAATGAGAAGAAAAAAAAAACTATGTTACAGCAACCCAGAAAGAGGAAGATGCAAGGAAAGAAGACGACGATGCTAAGGAGCAGCCAAAAGAAATAAAGAAGACAAAGAGAATGGAGAACGTTTTTATGTAAAAAATGATGTGATTAAAATAAAAACAGAGGATTTTTCTTTGGCTTTATATTGAGAATTCCATTGCTGGTCCATGTAATGGGGCAGTCCTGCCTCACGTAGTCTAACAGGTCATTCTCAGTATGACCATAAGGTGGCACTGTGTCCATACACATCTAAAAGCAATACAGTATGTAGAATGCCTCAGCTGCAATCAGCATTTACAGTAAAACTAAATGCTTTCAAGAAGGTGGTGATCTTGTAGAGTTTCTGTCAGTGTGTACGTGTATTTATACCGCTGCTGATGTCTTCTGATGGTTCAGCCGGCAGCACAGTGACCTTGGTACCAGTCTGCTGAATGAACTGCTGTAGGTTGACCTGTCGAAGCTCTTTTGTCAGCTGCTCCAGCTCCTGCTCTTTCTCCTATAAAGGAAAAAAACACCAGGATAATAAAATGAACTGTATGCCTAGTCGGATAAAAGTACTGCACATAAACAAATCCACAGCTTACCAAAGCTTTCGAGTGCAGGAAGTTACTCTAATGGAGGTGAATTTATTAGGTCAAAATGAAAAAAAGATTGATGTTCTGCTCAGGATCTCTCCAGAGTCATAGTGTAGTTGAGCCAGCCAAAGAAAAGTATCAGCTCACAGATGATTACACAACTCCAGGCAGGGGATTGCGTACTTATTCAGGCCCCTCTCTAATCAGGCAAAGAATGCTGCTAATTCCCTCCCTCCCATTCCCTTCTCGTTACCTCACGCTTCCCACATCTTACTGGACTTCACCCTACTTCATACTAGGATGCATGCAGGCAAAGATCCATCGCACATTGCTGCGAGCCAGAGATAAGGCTTTGCTTCACTGCCCACAACTTAATGAGCTTAGATTTCTATGGTTCCACCTGTGTGCTGAGGACTAAATTTTTAAACCAGCGTCAGCGGAGCCAAAGTTTTCCGACTTCTTAATAAGATTTTTTAAAACACTTTCTTGAAATCTGAATTCTTCAGCCTCTTCTAAAGTTAATGGGAACACAATATTTTTTAGCAAAATGCCAGGATGGGCCTCTAAAATAAACAACTAAACAGTTGAGCTGACCTGTAATCTCTTGCCTGACTGGCTGAGCGAGCGTTCCAATGCCCTGCAGCTGTTCTCCAGCCGTGCTGTTTGTTGGCTCTGCATTTCCAACTCTGCCCTCACTTTCTCCAGCTGGGCTTGTACCTGAAAGCCAGAGTGGAAGGGAAGTCAGGAAGCCAGCGCTCATCGCAATTTTCCAGGAGAAATATGCAAAAGAAACTCAACCATGTAGGAAGACTTTTTCATGCTTTGACATGTTTTGAACTTGAATAAAAAGTTTTTTAGCTCTGCAAAACTATTCATCCAAGTTTATAACACGTGTGTCGGTTTAACAAAACATTTTTCTCAACACAACTTTATTTAAATAGCATCAAAACACAGCAGCAGTTGCCTCAATGTGCTTTATATTGTAAGGTAAAGACAATAATACAGGACAAAGATATGGTGTGGAAGAAAGACCTATTAATAAAAACTAATGACTAAATGCAAAGTGGTGTATTAAAACATAGTAAGTGACAAAGGTCACCGAAGAAGAAACGCTCAGTGCATCATGGGAATCCCCCAGCAGGCTAGACTAACTGCACCATAAGTAAGAGAGGATTCAGGGTCACCTGATCCAACCCTATATGCTTTATCAAAAAGTTTCAGAGTAACATTTGAGAGTGAAGTGCTCTGTTGGAGTGATACGGTACTATCAGGTCATTAAGATAAGATAGGGCCTGATTATTCAAGACCTGTATGTGAGGAGCAGGGTTTTTAATTCGATTCTGGATTTAACTGGGAGCCAGTAAAGGGGAGCCAATATAGGAGAAATATGCTCTCTCTTTCTAGTCCCCGCGTCAGTACTCTCGCTGAAGCATTTTTCGATCAGCTGAAGACTTTTCAGAGAGTTTTTAATACATCCTGATAATAAAATAATCCAGCCTAGAAGTAATAAATGCATGAACTAGTTTTGAAGGAAATATCCTGGTAAAAAACCACAGCATGAGTCCTCACAGTGTTACTGGAGGCCAGGGTAATGCCATCCACAGTAAGTATCTGTTTATGAGATCGGTAGAATGTCCCAAATGTTAATTTTTCAATGACTGCACCTCTTCCTCGTTGACCCTTTGTTTCAGCTCAGCCTCCTGCTGCAGTCGCTCCTGCTCCACACCTGCCTCCATGCTCTGGAAAGTAAATAAAAATCTCATTTTTCCCAGCTTCCTTCTTCAGTTAAAGCAGCGTGTTTGTGTTTTACTGACATTTATAGATAAGAGGTTTAACTCGTAAAACCATCAAAACAGGATCTGGTGAAATCAGGCAGCTCGTGATGCTAAGTTCACCTGTATGCGAGCTAGATACTCCGAAAGCTTGGCTTCACAGTCGCGTACGCGGCCCTGCAGCTCGGCTAGCTGTTGCCGCAGCTGCCACTCGCTCTCCTGCTCTATCTGCAACTCGTTCTGCCAGAATTCCTCCTCCTCCATCTCGGCGTCATTCCTCCTCACCTGCTGCTCTAAAAGGAGCAGCTCTTCCTCCAAGTTTCCTTCCTGTAAGGCATGGGATTAAAATATGATGTAGGGATGTAAAAATAAAGATATTGGAAGACATGAAAGTTTAGGGTGCAGACGATCTGAAGATCAGCACATATGCAAAGTTTCTCTCAGTGACTGCACTGGCAGCTGTGGTTTTACTCACATCGCTGGCCTCGCCTGTGGCCTCCTCCCAGTCTCGCAGCTCAGCCTCGCAGCCCAGCAGGCGGCTTTCCAGGGCCTGGAGTTTGTTTCTCTGCAGCTGCACCAGTCGGCTCAGCTCTCTGGCCGGACTCCCAGGTACAGATGCTATTCCACCTCCTCCAACTCTGCTGAGGTTTAAACTCACACCGCGCTGCTGGGACTGTTTGACTAGATGCACAGACAAAAAGGGAAGACTAAGATTAAAAGAAGGAAACTGAACCATTGAAGCTAGCAAAGAAATGACTGGTAAGATCATGGCTAATATTTCAGCTATACACACCATCAGTATCTCTGCTTTTTCCAAATATTTCCCGCAGACCCTTGGCGCTTCCTGTGAAGGTCAAAGATTTGCGTTTGGGTTCCTTTCGTTTGAGCGACCTGTCTGTCCCCGATGGACGGAGCTTGGCCAGAGGTGGAAGGCTCTGGCGGTATAGACCTCGTTCTGGGACACGAGCCAGCCCTTCAGAGGTTGGCCGCTCGCTGACAGACGGGCCGGTCCGCTGGAGGATGAGCTGCACGTCACTGGCATACTGGCCCCACTTGTTCAGGGACACTACAGGGTTTTCATTTGGAGCCAGGTGGCGCTCTGTCTCCCGCCATTTCTCGATCAAAGTGTATCTGCCCGTCCGTCCTGGGACAAAACAAGAAGTAGTTGAAAGGTCCTGACATTTTATGACAGCTTTTCACAATCAGTGGAAGGGAATCCTACACGAAGGGTTTGTTTTTCTGGGCTCTTTTCATTGCAATGGACGGGGTTCTGCTGGAAGAAGGAGATGTGATGTTAATTTACCCCTCCTTCCCTTGATGTTCAACAGGTTTCAGTTGAAACAACCTTTATATGGTGCAAGCATTTAAAAAGTTTTCAATTTGTGGGTGAAAATTAAGTTTTACTTGCAAAGTATGTATAATGCATAATACTGGAAGTTTGCCCCACTCTTCTTTAATTTGAGTCAGTTCTGTCAGGGGCTGGGTGTGTGACCCAGTGATTTCAGTTGGTTTTGATCACTTTTGTTATATTTTGAAGATCATGTGGAGTTTTGGATTATTATTAATTGGCTGTGAATTGTAGTCTGTTTCACCCTGGCCTTCTGTTCTAGTTGTTATGTATTTCCTGTCTGCGTGTTTCATGTTGTCAAGTCTGTGTTGTCTACGTCTCACCATGTTTCCTGTTTTATTTTGAAAGTCTTGTGTTTCTTTGTTTGATGCGTTTAGTTTAAATCTTCTCCTGTGACATCGTTATTTTCATTTGTGTCAGCTGTTTCCATATGTGTTTCCGCTTCCCCTGATCACCTCCTGTGTGTATTTAGTCTGTGCGTTTCACTCAGTCGTGGTTAGGTAGACTGTTTACCCTCCCACCATGTCAGTTCCTCGTCCGGCATGAGTCAGCTCAGGTCGTGTTCTTGTTTCTTCATAGTTTTCTGCACGTTCCTGCTCTGAATCATATTTATGTTAGTTATGACAGTTTTGTCATAGTTATCATTTTTCAGTTTTCCCAGTGTAGGTTTTAGTTTACGCCCTTTGTTCTTTATCCATGTTCAACCAGCCTGTAATAAACTGCTCGCTTTTTGTGTAAAACTTCATTTCCTCTCTTCAGTGTCTGCTTTTGGGTCTTCTTCCTCTCTTCTCATGGTCTGACAGTGCAAACCACGACAAGTTCAATGATGTTTGCAGGCATTTGTTTATGCACCGCTCTCTTAAGGTCGTGCTACAGCATTTCAGTCACCTTGAGATCTGGACTTTGACAGGTTTTGATTCTTTTCTTTTTCAGTCATTCTGTTTTAAATTAGCAACAGATTTTGCCGCAGATTTGCTGCTACGCTCAATATCATTGTCCTGAGGTATGACCCAGCCCAAGCTTTAGCTGTTGAATAGATGTCCTCACATTTCTCTAGAGTATTTTGATATACAGATGAGTTCACGCTCGAGTTGGTGATCTCATACACTTGATATGAGGTGTTTGGGTTTTCTCCAAACATGGAGCTGTGTATTATGGCCAAATATCTCCATTTTGGTCTCATCTGTCTAAGGGACAGAAGTTAAAAGTTACAGTAGTGGTTTTCTCTCGGCAGCCCTCCCAAACAAGCCTAGTTTGTTCTGTAACTTTCTAATTGTGCTGTCATGAATATTTCACATGCTAACCAAGGCCTGTGGAGTCTGAGATGTAGCTCTTAGGTTCTCGCAGCCTCTCTAAAAAAATTGCATGGTCTGAATTTGGGGTGAATATCCTGGGATGTCCACTCCTGAGAACATTAGCATTATCCAAACACATACCTTTATGCTCAGACCATCAAATTGCCAAATCTTATGCTTTTAAATAAGTGCTCACACTTGCGATTAACCTGTTAATCAAGTGAATTTGATTAGTAGCACCTGGCTACTACTTGCTTAACTCTTGTGGAACCAATACAACTTTTCCACAAGACTATAAGAAAGTTTGGTGCAAACTTTCTTTTTGACATGACCACACTAGCTGTGATGTCCCCAAACTAATTTGTTTAAAGATGATAAAAAAAAGAAATAAAATGTTGTCTAGTCTTTCTGCAAATGTAAGTGAACATCAGTTTTCATGTTGACAATTTCTTTTCTGAAGTAAAAACAATCACAGTGTTAACACATTTTAAAAAAACACTTTCAAATCTGGGTTCACATTACTTTAGAGGGAAAACTATTCACTTAAATTCCACAGTGAGTGATAAAGAGAGTCATTGATCTGTGCTCTCTTTAAATCTTTTACCAGATCACAGTTTTGCCTTTGTCCGTGTCATCCCTCAGCTTTAAACATTTGCTGAGTAACATCAACAAAGGCTGAGGATGATTCAGCTCACAGATATCCATTAAACACCCTTCTGTATCTGGTTGTGCGCCCTGAGATGTTTCAAAAATCACATTGCATGCTATCAGAGTAAACACCCCGTGGAACCTGTGAAAAAAATCAATCCAGCCTTGTTAAAATGATCAAAATAAAGTTCAATGTGTTTTTGCAAAAAACGACAGACGAAACAATGACAAAAGGCTTTTTCACAGCTCTCCCACAGGCTGCACCACTGGCAGATATAAAGGACTTTACCACGGTGTCTAATGCAGTGGGAAAATTCAAGTCAACAAACAGCGTTTGTGTTAGCCATAGAACGGGGTTCAGTGGTTCAGGGCCTTTTGTGTGCGTCTCCTGTATTTGTATCTGTACACATAAAGATAAGAGAAAACACTGCCAACTGCACAGCCAACCCCCTTCTTCCACAGTAAGGGTCCTTATAAAAAGAGGTGCATTCATCACTACAGCCATTCAGACTTCAAAGCAGCTTGGCCAGGACAAAAGGCACAGCGAGCACAAAGGACCGTGCCATAACTCTTCCTCTGCTTTCACTGTGAAAGACCCCCACATTTTAACTCTAACCACTGGGGCTACTGAAAAATCCAATATTGACTGTGTTCCTCTAAAAAATGTGTACACATGAGTAAATGTCATGATGCCAGTCTTAAATTCACAAATGCAAACGAAGAGGCTGAGCCTGAACTTATTTCTATCAACTGTCAACAAAGGAAAGACTGCAGTATGACTCATCGTGTTTCACAGAGTCCCGTTATGGTGAAAATCTATTTGTGCCCTCTAGTCACTTTTCATTTTCAAGCCACTTATTTCCTCAAGTGTCTGCATGTATGCGGCCTGCCAAATACTGGATGCAACCCACATAACAGAACATCCCAGCATTGATTTATGCAGGACAAAATATAATTTGCACTGCTTTTCCTGGACTTAAGCAGTAACCAATATTATTTTACTTTCTAGAGACAGAGGAAGTAACATAATGTTTCTAAGCATTTGCTACCTGTGAACAGGTTATGTTGTAGTGAGTAATTTGTAGCTTACCAATGGCTTGTGCCAAAGCGATGACCACTTCCTGGCATGTGGTGAACTCCGTGACCCCGCACACAATGCGCTGCACTCCGTCCACCCACACTTTTAGCTCCATGGCCTTCATTCCTCCACACCACAGGGAGCCGCTAGAGATTCTTTATTTTGCATCCTGGAGAGCGAAAAAATAAAAAGTTCGGTAAAATAAATCATGTTTAACTGTTAAGCATCACTTAACCACTATTCACTCCTACACAAGACCCTTAAAGGTTCGATTATAAATATTTTTAGTGGTGGATCCAACCTGATATTACACGCAAAGTGTGTAATAGACAAACTTTGCTTCTCTTAGGTGTGAAATGGACGTGCATGCTTAAGTTGCAGTATATAAGCCAACACTACTGACCAAGGAAAGTATGAAGTACATTCCAGGCTCTTTCTATGCCAGGTAAGATGACGTTTCTTTAAAAGTTTGACTGTTTTAATGTTTCCTTTAAATGAATAAGTGTGTGTGTGTGTGTGTGTGTGTGTGTGTGTGTGTGTGTGTGTGTGTGTGTGTGTAGGACTATTGTACAGCTTCACCTTATTAACTAGAGATAGTTTATCTGAATTTCAGGAGCAGGACCACACCCCAAACACTCCTCTTCCAGTTATACGTCTATAAATAACTACTTGTGCCACACACACACACACACGTTCTATTGACTCTTCTATGGAGGCATAAGTGGTCAAGAGATCGAATTATACTTATACAGACAAGCCAACCTTTTTCACACGATCATCTAAGATGGAAGCAAATCCCATCTTTGGCTTCAGCTAATGTGGCTAATTTAAAAACCTTTCACTTCTTTTCATTCCAGTTTTCAAAATGCCTTTTCTGCTTCCACAATCTGTTGTCACTGCTAATCAGTGTTGGGACTAACGCGTTATTAAGTAACGTGTTACAGTAACTACGTTATTATTGTGGTAACGAGCACGGTAACTAGTTATTATGCCAAAACCGGGAACGCGTTACTCGTTACTGGGATTTAAATAGGCTCGTTATTCGTTACTTCGTGTGGTGGCTATCGCGGAGCTTCCACAGATTCAATAACATTAGCAAGTGGTGGAGGCCAGCAGGTGGATGAAGGAAAAGGGAGGCAAGAGGAGAGACCCGAAGCGGACGCTGGTCCGAGAGTGTCAGGTGAACTGAACTTCAGGTAAGAAGTTAT